CTCCTGCTGCGAAAACTTGTTATAGATCAGAAATGTTCTACATCCTCTTTCTTTTGAATTATGTTCAAAGAGATGTTGAATTTTAATAGCGCTATGTGAAAGAGCTGAGTGAAATCTCACTGAAGCTGCCGGACAAAATCATCACCTTTCATTCAAGATAAATGTAAGAAACAAGCAAACTCTTTTATGAAGCCTGATAACCGAAATTACAGAAGTTATCATCAAAAACAAGAGAAACGTGAAGCATATGGACCCATGAGTTTCTCTAGAAACTCATGTGCTTAATGCAGAGAGAGAGCATTAATCAAGGCAAGATGATTAATCCCGATAAGCAGCATAAATGTGTAAAAGGAATAAAGAAACCACCAGCACAGCTCGACAAACTAGCATTGTGATCCTGGTAGAAGAAAAGCTGAAAGAGAGGTTGGGGGTAAAACACTGGGTGAATGAGGTTTGGAAAAAAAGAAGTTATTGCCTGTTATTTGATTCTGTCTTTGTTCAAGGAAATAAAACTCTGTACTTTCTTTGTAAATAAAATGGAACTCTATCAAAGCAAAACCCTGTCCTGAGGATGAATTTTCTTTCCAGCTGAGAAGAAAACAACCCACAGACCGGACAAATTGTTTAACCACTCAGGTAAAATATGAGGAGAGTCATCCAGTTTTCAAGAAAGGGAATCATGAGGTGGAATTCCCACTGAACCAAAATAGAATCAATGAAAGTTGTATCTCTCAGAAATAGTAATTGGTAAAAAGATGAAAACAAGACCAGATAAAATTAAATGAAGACTTAAATCAGCTGGAGGCTTTTAAAAATTAATTAAAGTAGCGGCTGGAAAACTTCTAGAGTGGTCCAAGAGATGACAAGCAGGCAGAGATGAAATCTGTGCTTGAGCCACAAACACAGAATATGCAGACAGATTAGGAAGCCCTGTGGCAAAACAGATCAATGAGATGACTGACAACACAACTCCTGCAGGCTAGAAAGTTTTCAAAGAAATGGGTGAGCCAGGAAAGTTGGAACTAACTTGGCACTTGCTGACTGAGAGGAGCTATGCCAAGAAACTAAGGAGCTGCAGAAGTAAACTGGAAGGTCAGAGATAACTGTGGAAGTCTGATGCCTGGAAGTGGTCTTTTGCCATTAGAAAAGCCAGTGTAAGACTACTGTCTTTTTTTATCATTATTATTTTTCACAACATATACAAATTTAAACACCATTTGAAAATTACCCAATATCCAGCTCAAACACTGTGTCTTTGAAAGAAAAACTTCCATCAAGCTGGATCTCTCAAGTCAATGTGAAAACTCAAATGAATAGGAAGGTGAAAACTCAAATGAATAGGAAGTTGAAAACCCAAATGAATAGGAAGTCATACAGAAAATTCTGAGTCTAATGTCCAGCTCTATCGGCTCAAGTTAGATGGTACTGAAGAATGACACCTCCTCTTCTCCACCCTACCAAAAAGACATAATCTTCCAAGAAGTGGTCACTAGTGAGATCAATGAAACTTGTCCCTCTTCAGTCCCACAGTGGTACTAGGTTTGTATCTGCTCACTGTGGGAAGAATGCTAAATGAGATGAGCCTGGATCAAGTGTCATCAATGTTGTATGAAAAAGCTTTGTCTAGTTTGGGAAAGAGAAGACACTCATCTAACTATGATCTTTGTTCAGATCTGGGCAACTTGAAAACAGTAAATGGGAATTTGATTGCTAAGTGTCTAACAGCACTTGCACTAAAATACTGGCCACTGAATCAACACAAGATGTTTTAGAGGAGCCTGCCAATAAAACTAGGAAAAAAATATCACCCAAAATTAATTATCTGTTTGATCTTAAATAGAGATAATGGATGTGACCACATGATCATGTAGTGGACAGACCAAGAGCAGCAGAAACAGCAGAACAGTGTCAGAGCTCAGGAACTGAGGTCCTTTGGAAAGGAGCTTCCTCCAGATACATCTTTAGCCTTCTCTGCTGCGAGGAGACATTCAGTCCATTGGACTAATGAACAGTTGGTCTGAAGTAAAACCTACAAAGTGCTGTGACATTCTACAAATCCATTCATAGTGAGCCACACTGCTTGCTACCATAGATGTAGTCACTGATTGGTGGAAGAATCTAATGCAAACTTAAGGGAAACCAGTTTTAAAAGCTGTGTCAGAAATTTGAGCATGAAATCTACACAGTAAAATCAGAAGCAGTTTGGATTTCATTATGGGTATCAGCTGTGCTGTAAATGCCAGTAAAGTTGCCTTACACTTTCAAGTAAAACAAATGCTCTTTAGACCAGTGTTTTCTAGAAATCAGTTTGAAATACCTACAGAGTGGAAACAACTATAACAAGTTCTTGTTGGGGCAGCCTTTCAGCCAAGATACAATGCAGTGGCTGCTGCTTACTGTGCAACTGGTCTCTCAGAAATCCTAGCAGCTAAATCTCTGCAAAAATTAGGAGCAATATATCTAGTAAATATTGCCATAGACAGTGATGAAACTCCAAGTGTTTCTGTTGGACTTGCTAAAGCATGACAATGTGCATTTAGACAAGGAACAGCAGAATAGTCCCACATCCCTCTGGAGTCAGTCATTCTTCTCACTATCAGTCAGAAAACTGCCTCATTGAGCACAAAAAAGGGAAAAGAGCAATACAACTCAGCAACAGCTGGGATTAAGTGGAGGAGGGAGAGGGAGGAGAACCACTGAGAAGCAGCATCAGGAATGAATAATTGAATCTTTAAACAGTCCCCAGTGGCAGCACCACGGAAGCACCACAAACTACACAAAACTGTATTAAATAAATATCAAAGGATTGTGCCCTGACAGCAGTTAAGGCTCTATTTTCCTTAGAACATTCAGGTTTCCCAGACCTTACCTTAAAATAGGTACTATTAAGTGAAAACCAGAAATTAAGTTTACTCCTGCAACTGGGCATAAACTGCAACATCTTCAAGCCATGGCTTTTCACTTGGGTCTACTACACTGGGTCTACTACATTGCAGTGGTTGAGGATGCACTGTTCTGTAAGGAGTTAATCTCTTTTGGCCTGTTTATTATGCCTAGTTGGTACCCAGGGGCACCTAAAAGGCTTGGGACAGGAACTGGCACATTGATATGTGTTCAATAGGAAGTTTAAGAAAAGTGGGTGATGGACCAATCTGACATGGGCAGATTGTTATGCTGAAGTGACAGACATAATCAAAGTAAATGTCAGAAACCAAATTTCCTATGGAACCTAATAGAATAAACAATAAAAGAACTTCACATCAAAAATGGACATATAGCAACACTGGAACCGAAGGTGAACCACGGCTTCCAAATGGTTTGTGTGCAGATGTTCACAGCAAATCTGGGGGGGAGATGGAGTGAACTTTCACTGACAGATAACTGGGAGGAGAAATAGCAAAAAGAGCAGAAGGCAAGTGAAGACTCCTCCACTCAAAATAGCAAGAGGAAAGAAAGGAAAGAAAGAGATCTTTTGAGTATGAAGTTGGAATGAAGAAGATTGGATCACAGAACAAAATAATAACATTTCAGTTGTAGTCTCTGTGACCATGCAAACAGGTTGCCTAACTGTTCATACTGTGTTTGTATGATTAATTCTGATTTCTGCAATGCTTATACAAAGAGGGCTCTTTTTTCAACATGTAAAGGGGCAGGTGCAGCTGAAAATATACAAAATGTAAATATATAAATATGCAAAAATATGCAATTAAGAGCCTGGGCCTTAGGAATCATAAAATGTCATTACAGAACAGCTAATATAGAATTCGATTCTGCATGTTTAACTTAACAGATACATTTTCAAGTTCCATGCCTGTCATAAGGAATCCACCTTCCAAGGGAAAAAAGATTAGTCTTCTCAGTTGTGTCTAATTACCAAACAGTGAAGGTAAACCCCATAAGTCACTTGAAAATTTAAGCCAGACCAAAAGCTCAACTGACTTCAAGTAGAAAGCATCTGCTCTGCCCTTCTAAAACCAGTCCTGAAATATCTCAGAGTGAGCACTTAAATATCCAGGCATCCAAAATTCAACAATTTTTTTGAAAATGTGCTGATTCCTTGTCATAAAAAGCAGGAAATTGTGACATGAAAAACATCTTCAATAGGGATCAGTTAATACTTTCTAATCATAGGTCATGTAATGCAGATGAAGAAATGATTTCAACTGATGCAAGCTACTGAAATACAATGACATCTGAAATTGTTGCACAGATATTCATTATCTTAACAAAAAATGCTTCTAAACTCATAATGCAAGACAAAAAAACCCAAACATATGTTTGTGTTGATAATAAGACCCAGTTGGCCTCCTCCCCAAACAGCTCCTGTGACCTGTCAGGTGCACTTCTACACTTCCAAAGGAATATCTAACACAGTGTATCCATCACGCACATCTAGCCCAGCAATGTGTGTATGCCCAAATCTGAGAGCTGCACTAGCAAGTAAAACACCTGCATGCAAAGTAAATTCCTATTTGTATATCAATAACTACTGCATTTAGCCCCAATCCTGCAAAAAATTCTGCCCCTATTTAAATTTATGCAGCTGGGTCTTGACTATGTGTGGTAAGGAAAATGCATAAGACTTTAAGCATATTGGGGAACTGGGACATGTGAGAATGGGAAAATTCATGGCACACAATGTTAGGTCCTTTCTAATCCGGAGAGTGACCATGAATTCTGGCTACATTCTTCAGAAGGTCAGGCCCTCTCAAAATCACCCAGTCCTTGGCAGTAATTTAATTACAGAGACCTGGCACTAAAACATGAATACTTTGGCCGGAGGTTTTCAATAATTTTCAGATCAACTATTCTTTAGCAGGGCTTGTCTTAATACATAGATGGCTTGAATATCTATGTACTAGATTTAACAAAGACATTAGAATGAAGGTTATTACACCTAAAGTGACTCAAGCACAACATATTTTTATACAACTTATGTTTCAAGAAGCATAGGAAAACTTACGACATAAATTCAGTTTTCAAAGAGGTATTTAACTTACCTGCCAGAAGTCAGCAACAGTAGCAGGGAGAGGACCCTGGGTGGCAATATATGCAGGGTTTCTGGGGTCATGGTCCATCTGGAATAAGGAAAAAGAACATGGACTGGATTTATTTGAAAGAAAAATCGCTTGCTGTGTTAGAGACAGAAAGTATGTAAGGGCAGAACAAGGGACTTCCTAAAATCCTGTCCCTCCATCCTTTATTGGCAAGCAGAGAATTTTATTTCTGTTTTTTTCCCTCAAAAGACTGATGCTACCAGATGAATATCATCACACATGATGAGCCATGTCCTATGTCCTCAATATGCAGAGTAAGATCACTTATGGTGGTTGACAAAGGCATTTATTTGAGATCAGTACTTGTGGTTTCATAGCAACCTAGGAGCCATTTGAAACATTTTTCTACACTGAATGTTAAGAATGCTCCACACATCTAAATATGTTCTCCATTTCCACTGTGCCAGTGAAGGGCACATGCAACTAAAAACCAGCAAAAATGGGGAACAAATTCAATTTCTGGCTTTTTCTGGTTAGCTGATTTATCTAAATGCATGGATTTGGCCTCAATGGAGGAAGTTCTGTTTAAAGACCTTAATTATTACGTTTAATTCAAGGAGCAGAAAATTCACTGAGCAGAAAAAATAAAGAATCTGAGAAACAAAGCCATCAAGAGTAAATAGGATTAGTGTGTTACAATGAATGTTTTCGAACTGATGGGTGGTTTTCTTGGTTCTAAATCTTAGGACTCATTCTGCTGAAAAAGAAGATCTGCTGATAGGATTAAAAAACAAACAAACTCATTCTAACCCTGGGCAAGACAAAACTTTGAACAAAAAGAAAAGAGACCCAGTTCAGCTCTCAGATGTGTGGGTGTGACTCAGTGACACTGAAGTCGGTGAGAGTTAACTTATATCCATGTAGCTGAAGGCAGAATTTGTCTCAATACATGATTCTGTTCTATAAGTAAAGACCTGAATAAGAACGAATGTGAGTCACATTTGCATTAACAGGCATCTCCTGAATTTATTCATAGCCTATCAAAATTTTCAGTGATGGCACATGTCAGCGCAAAAGAAGGCACCTCATAATTATGTGCAACATAAAAGATGGAAGAACCATAAAAGAACAGATGTAAGTTATTCTAAAAGAACAACAATATAATGAATGTTGCAAAAAGGAAGAGAATACCTTTATGTTTCTAATTTTCTGACACATAATTAAGTTGGACTTAATATTAAAATTCCCCATGACAACACAACACAGGTAAAATGAAGTCACTGAATCAATTCAGACTAAAAGCTTACTTCTGATTCACCACCCACAGTTACAAAAAAACTTGTCCAGGATGTCTATAACACCATCATTTTATTCTGCGTTTCATTGAGATGCTTCTCTTATCAGCAAATAAATCTTCAAAACAAGCAATTGCTCACAGCAAATTTCAACCTTACTTTCTTTGCCTTTTGACAAAAGCAATTCTGATAGCAGAACATTGACTACTGTGGGTATTTTGAGACCAGAGGAAAACTAGCTTTCTTCAGAAAGCAGTATTAACAAAAAAACCTTAGGAACCACTTCAAAAAGGGCAACTATTTTTTTTTTGTTTTAGTTTTGTAAGAATTGGAGACACTGAACTAAACACAGCTGAAAACAACAGCAAATGTGATTAAGCAAATTCGTGCTTAAAAGCGTTCTTTTTTTTTCTCCATTATAGTTGAAATAATTTCTGTAGTTGTTTTGTTTTGAATCCTTAAGATCATCATTGTGCTGAAATGGTTTCCTACGCTGGAACTAAAAATCTTAACTTAGAAAAATCGACCTGCACTGAGGAGGACTTGCTACTCCCTGTGGAGACCGTTGCATCCACTTGAAAATGATGTCACTTCTTTGACAAGTAAGAGCCTGGCTCAGAAATGTAACCAATAGTGAATACACCAAACCTTAGAAAAATAATTGAATTTCTTCTTAAAATAAATTCTTTGTATGTAGACATGCCAGAAAGCAAAGGCAGAAGAAATCAAGGATGATGTAAATAGCACTATCATGGAGGAAACATTCCTCAACTATCAGCTGATAAATCAGGAATAGGCCAATCTTGGCATTTCAGCATTAATCAACCTCTTTCACAAAGGTGCTGTTGGAACGTGGTAAACATTACAATAAGCACAGAGTAGTGAAGTATATCAGCAGTTTAACAATAATCCAAAAGACAATTACAATTACAATTATTATTTTCCAAACACATTGCGGTGCACAAAAAACAACTATGAGCAGAAACTCTTCTTGCTTGGAGCAAATAGAAGATGGCAGAAAGCCCTATCACACAATTAAATGATCTTTAACTGAACAAAAATAAGAGCAAAGATTAAACTAATTAAATTAAATTCCTGGTTTCATCAATTTTCTATTACATGTACTGTTTTAAAGGCCACATATTTCAAGAAAAGTGTGAAAAATCACTACCCTGGTCACATTCAATTTAACGTGAGTAGGGATGGCTCTTGAATGTTTTTGCTATGTTCTTTTTGATTCTCTCAAGGTCACCAAGAACACTAAGGGCAACTTAATCTATCAAAGTTAACAGAAGTTTGAATAAAGAAATAAAGTCAGTAATGGGTTTTACACTAACTAATCAAGAATCAAGTAAAAGGCTTTTTTTTTATGTCACTAGTCATTATCTTCTTTCAAGGATCCCTCAGATTTCTCACTTCATGAAAATAAAATAGAAAATGTATTCTCCAGAGAAGAATGGAGAACTGCAGACTCCATACAATCAAGTATTAAACCAAAAATTGACTGTTTGCTAACATTTTACATCAGAACAACCTTCAGAAATCACTCTAATAGTAGTTGTTCAAAAAGAATGGGATTCTTCCCTCTTCCCCATCAAAGCATCAAGTTCACAAGGCTTACATCAGAACTGGATCGAACAGCCATTGTTAGAAAGAAAAAGCTGCAATTATTACAACTGTTCTACTATGATGGAATTCTCATTTTCTACTGCAGTACAACAAAGGCAACTCTGGTGATAATGCTTCAATCTATTTTTCCATGATTTTATATTAGGGATCAAGGATTACTATAACTGACCACTGACTGTGGTGATTTCCGTCACTACCAATATTGAAAGCAAATGGAAACAAACAGGAGGAGCATTGAGATTTCTTCTTGCAAAAGAAAAATTAGATAAAACTTTAGTGACACAACTTATATTTTTCTACAGTGCTTTGTAATATAAGTTGAATTACGGTACCTTAAAGTAGGAAAAAATATAAAGAACACTATTGCAATTGCTTTCACCTTTGTTAACATCAGACCACAATTTCACCTGTGCTTTACTAGAGAATAAAAGCTACACCTTTAGTTTTTCCTTCAAGAGTTCTATTATCTTGCTGTCTTATCCCAGGACTTTGCAAGGATTCCCTTAAGAACGCTGAAATTTGTTGAGTTTTTTGATAGAGATTTTGCTGCTGCATGATTTCACTGATAATGCTGATGGAATACAGCAAAATCAATACATTCTGGGAGTAAATCCTCAAATGTATTGTATTTGGACTTGAGAGTGGCACATGTAGATTCTTATTAAGTAGCCTTGTAAAATTGTAAACTGAAGTAAAACCGTCAATAGGCATCAATGACCATTCTGAAATCTCACATAAATGATAACACATTCATTCCTGCCCTTTACCTTCCCTTTCAGCTTTTCAGATCCTTACTTTCCACAGAGAAAGATGCTGGGTGAGATGTGGTCTCAGTCACACCATTTACCTTCACCTAAATCCTCTGAATCCAGCTGAAATATTCCTAAATCACATGAGATCAGAATGAGATCCAGTGTACACCAAATTTGACAGAAAGGAAGTTGAAATCCTACTAACACCTTAAAAATTCATATTGATTCAAGCTGCTGTGTGGTTTCCAGACTTAATGTGTTTATAGCCCCAACAAAATCTACTTCCATGCATGTATTTATTTATTACACAAAGTATAGGCAGTCTCTAAAAGCAGAAAAAGTTTATTTGTTTATGTAAAAGAAAGCATATCCTGCAAATGCAGATGAACTTTGTAATCATATTTATCTCAGCATTAAAATTAAAAAGGTAGACTAGTCCTCCCCTTCATGTTTGAATTAAAATTTAAAACAATTTTTTAAATCCTTCCTTTAAAACCCCTAATGGAATGAAAGAAGTAAATCTGGTTGTGAATGCCATTATGAATTTCAGAGTCTATTCTTGGTGATGTAATTTGTATGCTGTATTTGAACAAACTGTCGTGCTAATGACATTCCTCAGTCTGGTGTCTTCAATAATAAGCAAACTGAGTTTTAAAATGTAGTTGACGGGATTTTTTCTCTCTCAGACACCCTATGAGGAAAAACAGAATTTCCCATTTACTTTCATGACCTCTGATTTAAAAGCAAAGATTGCACATTATTTACTACTGGATGATTTTCCTGAAATTTAATGAGGACTAAGTACAAATATGACAGAAGTAATTATCACAGTTTTATTCTGCACAGTCAGGGTCTCCTTGTGCTGTAATTGCAAGCCTTTCATTCAGCTGCCGATAGCAGAGTTATTATCATAGTACTTTATGTTATTTCAGAGAGGAGGAAAACAGATTTCTACCCTGCAAATTTATCCCAAGGACTCATTTTGCCTGGTCTTACACTACAGTGAAATTAAAGACCTATGGGAAGAATTTGGACTAAATCTTTCCTGATTCTCCTCACCCGTTCCCAGCTGCTGTGAGGCCACCAATCTAACCCCAGTTTTCACATCATATTGGAGAGAAAGGAGGTATTGAGGAGGGGTAGCACTTTTTAAAAGGAAGAAACATGTGGGCAGGTGGCCAGCTCATTGTTTAGCACGGGGGATTTTTTTTTAAGGTGTGCTGCTGCATTCATTTAGACTTCAGTTAAGGTTGAGTGAGCCCCAGCTGGAGACTGGACCACTGACCCAGAAGCTGGAGATACCCAGTGACATGCACCCAACTGGCAGCTTCCCTTTCTGAAGCTCAGATATAATTACTTTATTTTACACTCTTCCTCCACCAGACAGCTCACACACATGGGGAGGAAAAAGCCTCTTCCAGTCAGTTCAGCCTGTACTGATCCTGAGCTATTAATGCCCATCTTGCAGCTCATCACAGTGCTCACTCCTCACCCAAGCGCTGCAATGCCAAATGCACCAGGAGCATCCCTGTATTGATATGATAATTACAGAGGTTATTTAAGTGGAAAGACAGCAGTCTGAAGGAAAGAAATGGTAGGATTTTTGCAAGAGCAAGCGAAGGCAGATCAGTACTGTACTGGTACTCCACATCCACTGCACACTTACAAGGACACTGACTGAACGTGTGCCTGCTAACAGAAAAGATCTCAAATAGAGATCAGTAGTAATAGCACGTATGTCCAGCTCAGGCTGCAACAGCTGTACAACCACAGTAAATATTGCAGAATCAAGTGCCCAACACAATATTCCAGTAGGCAATTGAGGTGGAGAGGAACAGAGACAATCTCTCTGCCACTCCTATATTCTGCCTCATTTTACAAAAACTATACCAGATTAACAAATATGTTTACACTCACCCGAAGATATTTAATTTTTTTTTTTTTTTTAATTCAACGGTTTACAGGGAATCTTTCCAAACCATGGGCTTGCAAAGCAGTGATTTCCTCCTGTCAACCTCCCACTGCATCACCTTCAGGAAACACATATTTTGATCTACTGCTTTCAAAATAGCAAAATGACTACTCAGTGAAATGGACTCACGTAACTATCTGCAGCACATCTTTCCTTGGAACAGCAGGTCTACACAAATGTCATCTGTGGCACTTCTCCCCAAACAGTAGGTTCTCTATCCTACCATTAAGAAAAAGAACTCAAGAATTTCTCTTGGTAATTTTCCTTGGTTATGCAAGGTACTGGGTACTTGTCCCAGTCTAATAAAACAGTTGTGAACACACTCTTCTCTGGGTATAGAAATATTTCTGCAAGAGATATTAAGACAACCATGAGATTTTTTGCTTCATCAGTGTGACTTGTTTTATTGAACAAAACTCTTGAGACTGGGAAAGCGACAAAAAAAGAAACACCTTCTAACCCTGCAGAAGAAAATACCCTTATTAAAAGCTGGATAGAAGGGCAGCTTCTGTGTAAAAACACAAGAATTGAAGCTGTGGAAGCAGAGATCCTCTGCTTGCATTAGCTTCAGGCATCCTGGCAAAGCAAACCAGTTTTGTCAATGGGATGTCTTGGTCCTGTTTCTTCACCTCCAATACTACTTAATCTAATACTTTTCAGTGTAATTAAAGAAATAATTACACTATAATCCAGAATTACAATTGCAACAGGCATATACACACGTGAGAATTTATCACTTCTCTAACCAAATAAATCTGTGTACTAAAACTAGTTAAGCTGTGTCTACGCAGACTTTTGGGTAGGTTCAGTAGCCCATCTTGAGTTTTTGGTAAATCCCAGCATTTGTACAGCTGCAACCACTGAACCTAGCTTAGCACTGTCTACAGATGCTGTAAGTCCACTTTGACATCAAGTTGTAATCATGTGAATTACAACCAAGCTCTTACAAGAATACAATATCTTACTTCCAGTTATCCCCTCCCACTCCTGTGCTTCCCAAAAAAACCTCTCCGTTTCTACTACCAAATTAAGGCTTGACCAAACATAACTCACCAACTGTGTCCTGAAGACATGCAAACAGAGCACTGAAGCACTGGAGCTGGACCTCTGTGTATGACTTTACAGGCAGGATACACATTCCTTGGAGCACCAACTTACTGTGATCTGCTGATCCTGGTGCCAAATAGAGCTTGGTCTAGTCAGAGACATACCTAAAAGTAGTCCAGAAACTCTAATCTGTGCATGTATGTTCTTGTCCCCTAAAACTGGCAATCCCTGAATGTGCAGGTGCTTTGCCTTCCCATCTACTCTAAGCGAAAGACAATAAAATCCCAAAGATGTTTGTTGACTTCTGTGTATTTTCTAACTCTCAGAATATAGCATTTTGATATGTTGAAGGAATGAAGCTTTTGAACTCTGCTGAAAGTAAAGAAAACAGAGATCAGGGAACAGCTTTTATGTACTTGTGGGTTTTTTTAAGAAAAAAAGTATTGTTAACAACACTGGAAGTAAGCAGACTGTAATTTCGTGCTGTTGCAAATTGTCAGCTGCCTTGCCCACATGAAGTCATTTAACTGGGGGAGTGACACTCCCCAGGAAAATAAGCCAGTAATGGCACATACAGCCCACTGCAGTGAGATCTAATTCTCCATCCTAAGTTCTTTTTCATAGTTTCCCTCTAATAACTTTAATTAGTGCCTAATTAACGTGAATAAAAAGCATGAAAAAAAGTGACTCCAATACTAGCAGCACCACAGAGGTCAAGGACACTGAGCCTTTTCCCCCCTTCACATGGATATCATGACACTTCCATTGAGATGGTATGACAGGGCAATGCTACTGGCACCATCATACCTATTTTGTGTCTACAAAGAGAGACCTTTTCTCCCTATCACCTTTCACAGACCAGAGAGGATTCAACTTACATAAGGTGGGAAATGGCAGCTTGGCCACACTGGAGTATCTGGATGCAAAAATTGGATTGACCTACTTTGCAGTTGGAATGATTATACAAGGGGTAAGGGATCTTGTTCTTGCTTTGAAAACAGCAAGCTCAGAGAATCAGAAGAGCTACAGAAACACCAGGTTGCTCATCAGTGGGTCACCAGAGAAAGAAAGGTAAGAGGAAATGTCACTTTCTGATGCAGAAGAAGCTCAGAAGTCTGTGGAGCTCAGCTCTCCATGACTACAAAATCTATTCCTCCCATGGCTATAGCTAGTAGGGCAAAGCAAAAAAGAACAAGCTATTTTTACCTCCTCGGAGAAGGAAAAGCTCCACCAAGGGTATAGCATTGAATTTTATAATCCCTAAGTTAATAATATCAAGTACAGAAAACCCGACAGTATTACAAGGCAGAATGAGGACTTTGTTTTCTTAGTGCATAAACTGAAAAGGTACTTATTTATTTATTTATTTCTCTTCAATTTGTAAGGACAGCCTGAAACAGAGTTGTGAGGTGCTCACAACCTGAGGTTGCACAATCTGAGCAGCGAGGTGCCTCAAGTGAGCATATTTTGGCAACAAGGAAAGACAGGAATCAACTATTTGGATTCTTTCTCATATGTTACCGTACTTACAATTGGACTAGCATTGATGTAGTCTGAATTGTCGTGGCTGCTTTCACCTTTCAGACATATCCTGGAATGGTCATCTGCAAAGGAGAAAATAAGAGAAGAAAGTTTCTATACCAGTATTCTACCCATTATAAGTTACAACGTTAGATTAATGTGCATTTCAAGACCGGTAAATGGTAAGTATCAGAAAGGATATTTCCTTCTGATTCCCAGCCTAGCCATAGCATTGATACAGCCACAGCATCACAGTCTGACTCAGGAATGAAGCACTGGGATATTCCAGAGGCTCAGTGTCAGAAAAGCCTATCTTCCTGAGATGCACTGTGATGTGCTACAACATCTCTTAATTAAAATGGGAACATGCGCTGTTCAGGGAATTTAAGATTTAAACTAGGCAAATCACTAAAAAATTTCCAGTATTATAGGAAACACTCCTGTGTTTGCAGGGTCATAAAAGAGGGAAGCTGATGGATCTTTGTCCACCTGGCTTCTCTACAGAATGAACAGCAGGAACACTGAAGTACAGTTGAGAGATGCACAGTAAGTTAATCTGCCCTGATCAAAGACCAGTGCTGTGTGGTGCTCCACTAGTGACACGTGGAGACGATACGACTTGAAGATCAAATCCCAATCACAATTACACTTAAAGTACAACTGGAGCACACACAGATATCTTACACTGGTGCTATTGTAGCTGGTTCAGGCAAGACTAGTAAGGAAAACACCAGTTCTGGACATAGGAGACTTATGTTGTTTGCCCATCATCAAGATTATTTTATCACTTTTTAACTTGTAATTTTACTGGTGCTAGCTCAATTATATTTAAAGCTGGTACACCCCAAACTCTAGTCCTTTTTTTATTTTTTTTTATTTCAGGACGTATATAATGGATGGGTTTTATTTGTCTATACTTAGACAGCGACAATGCAGATGTCTGCATCTCTTCCAATCATCTAGACTCACTTTCTGCTAAGAGAAAAGAAATATTTCTAGGTGATGAATCATTTCATCCTGATTTAGCTGTCTGAAACAGGCCAAACTGTACTCAAGAAATGCCATTTCCTTCCATTGACTAAAGAAAGAAAGACCAGACCACACTCAGATAATTTATGCGAGAGATGTCTAAGTCTTTACATAAGAATCTCAAACAGCTTGTACCTGATACATAACCAGCATGATTTATACTTCTTAGCAAACCTATTCCACACAGTATATTGTGGGAAGAGGTTGTGGAGTTGCCCTTTCTGTAACCCTCTACAGTTGAACATGGATACTGATGTTTTGAGAGGATCTTTCCACTGATTTTTCAAATAGACAAAATAAGAGTGTAGGAATACAGCCTGTCCCCTTTTGTACCTTGTCTAGTGGCCTGTGACACCACTCTTAACACCAGGATTCCAAAGTGCTTTTTAAACTATGAAGTACCAGTCAATATTTTAATAAAGAAGAATAATAAATGAGTTATCAAATATTCTAAGTACCTCACAGGAGGTTAAGTTCATTCAACAGTAATGCCATGGTAGTTCAATATATGAGCAAGACAGAGGGATGCTTGTACAAGTGTTTACAGTCATTCAATCTCACCCAGCAATGTCAACAGCATTCTCCTGGAATAAGATCAGTGATGAATAAGTCATGCCAAATGAATGAAGAGCCAGTCTTTACTATTCACATAAAATTATTTTCCCTGGTAAGGTTTCAACACAACAGAAGGATGAAGAAGATGAGAAAGGGAACATGTTCATGCACATTATTCACTTCCACCTCACTTTGGCACCATGGTACAAAAAATCCAAAATATAAAAATGAACTTTTGACACCTGAGATCTTGGGCTACTCAATACTTTTTACAGGAAGCTTTACAATGAGCATTGTCACAGAATGCCTGAAGAATTACAGCTCTGAAACCTTTTGTCTTTGCAGAAGGAATGCAGGTTACATGCAGCAAATGTGGTCTCTCGCATACCTTAAACTAAGCAAGCACTCAGGATAAGCCTCATTCACTTGGACATTGGCCTCATTCATTTGGACAGCAAAAGTGTTTGAACTAATCACCAAAGAAAACATGTGAAATGTTTTCAAATGGATGAGGGAGAAAGAGCAGACAGTGATCCATGAGTTTTTAGCAAACAGATGCAGGGTGACTCTCCAATAAAAGTCAGGAGTCAGATAAGTAACTTCAGGATTTTTCTTTTTAAAACAAAATGTTTTATCCAGACCCTCTGAATAATGCCATGTCATTATTCTGCTGTCTTGGAGGGTTTATCAGAGGGTGAGACTTGTTAAGGCTTTGGTAGTGAAAAGGTGGTGAGACTGTATTTGCACTTAGAAAAAAAAAGTGTGCAAAAAAGGTTGTACATGTGTTTTCCGCATATATCAAGAGTTTGCACCCATGTGTGCTTCAGTTGCAGCATCAAGCATTCATATTGACAATGAACAGATTGTGCTTGTCTATGCCTGTTATCACCTCAAAGCTTCTAGGAACTTGCATAATAGATCTTTAGAAACAGGCAGGGAAAGAAGAAAAGGAAAAAAAAACTGCAACAGAATACCACGGACACCAGAACGTTATGGTAACAATGAGTGACTACAGGGAAAATCACCAAAGTAATAACATTTTTTTTTTTTTTGTAAACTGCATATTGATTATGCTGGAAGCAAGGAAAGAGAATCAGGAGAAGCAGGAAGTAAAAGTAAGGACAGGCATGTCAAAAAAAGGAAGATATGTAAGATCAATCTAAAAAGTGAGAAAGATGAATGAAGAAACAGGAGAGGAGAGGGATGGTAATAAGGCAGTGAGAGAAAAGACAAATGCTGTTACTAGGTAGTGCAATCTGGCCAAGCTACAACTCATCATCATTTTAAGTATCTACAATAGCTGCTACTGAGTGCTGAACTACTTTGCATTTGCTATTGCTCCAGCCAAGCCACAGTTGAAAGAAAAGCAAAATATGTAGATGGATATATGCGGCAGAGAGAGGCTTCCTAAATAAGATGGCTAGACTAACCTGTGGCTGTGGAAAAATATAGCACAATGTTGTATTTTATACACATATAAAATATAAATTATAAAATATAAAGGATAGAGGATAAAGGACAGAATATAAGCAGACACACATGAGTTTACAGTATATAAAAATTCAATTTATAGACTAAAAAAATCTAAGTTTTGGCATCTATATACAGATATCTTCATGTGAAGTGGTTACACTTAATGGAGCTCTATTTAGTTGGCTAAACATGAAGATGTAATGTTTGAGAGACTGTAAAGTAGATGAGACATTGCACAAGGATAACAGATACGTCACAAGACCTAAAGACTTGTACCCTCTTGAACCAGCATCTGTAACTCACACAGGATATACAGTGGCATCCTCGACCTATTTCACCATAAACTAAACACCAACTTTTGGCCATTGCAGAGCTCTCTTGATGTCACTGAACTAACTGGTTCTTCACTGGTGGTATCAGGTGCTTTGACACCTGGCTCATGTGGAGGCAGCTACACAGAGACACTTAAATTTAGGCATCCTAATCTACGATTTCACTGACTCATGCCCAGAGAACTTGATTTCAATGCTTGTGTGTGGGTTTCTAGTGGTATCTGAGGTGTTTTAAGGACACTCAGGCTAGCAGCTAGGAGAGGCACAGGCTTCTCACAGAGCTTGTGTTATAGCTGCTAGTTCTGCCTGGGTACCTTGAATACTTTAGGCATCTCAAATGGCACTGGATTCCTCTGTCTAAACTTAATGAAGATCTATCATTTCTGTTATTAGATGGGGATTGAAAGCTTGGAAAAGCAAGACTCACATCTTCCCTCTGTCTTCTGTTTCCTTTTAATCAGATACTTCTGAAGGAACAGAATCAACAAAAAAAAGGCTAAAACCAAGGAATATGGACAACTCTGGATTGTGTGAACCCAGGCAACACAGATCAGGGCAAATCTTACAACTATCAACCTGGCACATTCTGCCTGGACCATCATTCTCTTCCTTATAGATTTAGACTGATTTTTTTCCATACAAAGCACTGTACAGAACTGCACTGAAGAAAGAAAGAGAAGAACTACCAAGGAGTAAAAGTGGAGCAGTTTGAAGACTATGAAGAATCATAATCTGTTGATTATCATTATTTTGCCTATAGATGATCAGCACGAAATGGAACTTTTCTTGGCTCTGAACTGAAATCAAGTTCATTTATTTCAGAGCACTATTCGTACATCCATTCCTGACACAGATAATGAACAAACCTGGAGGAGGTGCCCTCTGTTCAGGTGTTCCATCTTAGGTGCGCAACCCCTGGCTGTGCTCTAAAAAGCACACAAGCCTCAGAGCTGGGTGCATGTTCTGCCCACACATGCTTTGCTCTCCTTTGCAGGAAAGCCAAACACAGAGATAAGCAGGTTGCTTTAATATCTACCATGACCCATGGACACAGCTACAGTGGGCAGCTTTTGATAGATGTTCACTACAAAAACTTGTTTGCCAAATGCTTTAAACACCTGTACATATTTATGGGATACATACATCAAAACATACAGTATTGACCCTATTGAGATGGGTTTGTTTTGCAGAGATGCAAAAAGAGAAAAGAAATACTGGAAAGCTTTTTTTGGGCTGCTCATATATTACTACAGAAAAAAAGGTATCACTAAATTATAGTACTAAATATAAACATTGGTTGCCCTAAATTATAGCAATCTGCTTGTTGATTGGATAGAAGGATACAGTTTTGTTAATCTAGAAGGTACAGGTTACTCGAATTGTTATAATTTTTTTAACTAGTAATTAATTGAGTGCAGTGTCAAGGTGTTCTGTAATCAAGTATTTTAAAAGCTGTTTGTAAATAGAGAAGATAGGTATAAGAGCAAGCTATGATAAAATTGTGATAATGTTAATCTAGAAATTAAATCGGTTATATAATCAGTAAAAAATAACACTGTATTGTTTTAAGACTGGTTAAGAAAGGAAAATGAAAAGCAAATACAACATGATATTAAAGCTTCTTTGAGGCCTTCCTAAGATGAAATCTTCTACATGAATTGGCAATCTTGTTTTACCTTGACAAGGTGATTATTAATATGAAAGGGGTAAGGACACACTAACAAGACATTACTCTGTGAGAATACATTGAATGTAGCATAACAACTCTATAGCATATTAAAATCATATCAGGTTTGCTTCTTCATTTATTATGAAGCAAATCTATGACTTTTTTCTATAGTTTTAGTGCCTAACAAGGAAAAAAAAAGCAGGCAAACTGGGCCTTCTCATCTCAGTCTAATCTTGTAGTCTAAAATAACCAGCTTATCAAAATTTAATACTGTTTAAATTCTATGCCACACTTTTCACTCATCAACAACATAGTTTTAGGGATATAACACGACAGCTGTTTACCAGTGTGCAGCCACTTCAGGAAGTGAAGGCAGGTAATTTTGTGCAATTCAGTCAAAAAGGAAAATTCCCAGTGCACTAATAGTTGTAATAGAAGTTCCCACATTGTAGAAACAAAGTAAAAATAGTATTTTGCCTTTTAAATGTGCTAAAATGCTTTTAACTAAAACTTCAGATGGATTGTGGTCACCCTGCCCATGTCCAGGTAGTACTGATTCAGTCTAGACACGGCAGCGGGAAGAACAGGTGTAACAATACACCATGGAAGAAGCAATGGCAGAGAACTGAAGGCTGATCAGTGTAGGTTGATACATCCACATGGTACAACATGATGAAAAGAGTCAGACTATCTTAGCTCTGAAAATACTTCAGCTCTCTGGTGTTGCATGACATTGAGGTGCTGGAGCACATCCAAAGGGCACCGAGGCTGGTGAAGGGTCTGGACCACAAGTCCTATGAGGAGCAGCTGAGGGAGTTGGGGGGTCTTTATCCTGGAGAAAAAGAGGCTCAGGGGAGACCCCATCACTCTCCACAATTACCTGAGAGGAGGTTGTAGCGTGGTGGGGGTTGGTTTCTCTTCCCAAGGAACCAGTGACAGGACAAGAGGAAATGGACTCAAACAGTGCCAGGGGAGGTTTAGATTGGATATTAGGGAAAACTTCTTCACCAAAAGAGTAGTCAAGCATTGGAATAGGCTTGAGTCACCATCTCTGGAGGTATTTAAAAGATGCGTAGACGTCACACTCAGGGACGTGGTTTAGTGGTGGACTTGGCAGTGCTGGGATAATGGCTGAACTTGACGATCTTAGAGGTCTTTTCCAACCTAAATGACTCTTTGACACCCAAGTAAAAATCTCGGCTCTTTAGCACTGTTACGGTCATGTTACTTCTGGATTTAGAGGTAGACAAGTCTAGTCTGAAGGTTTCTATCTTAGTTCATTGTATCATGCAGACACAGTTTCTACATCAGTCAAATAATCAGTACCAATTTCTGGTAACACCTGTAGCTGCCATGCTGCCTCCAGGCAGCAACCAAAACCAATCTGGCTTAATTTATGAGCAGGGACTTGAAATAGCTTAAGATGGTCTGACTGTAAGTCCATATTGAATAGAACACTTTAAGAGGGAAGATTAACTTGGATCAATACCACTTTTCATGGAGCAATTTTCACTTCCTGTCATGTTGGTTAAATTCTGCTCTTTCAGGATGGAAAAGAGCACAGAAGTCTTGCATTCCTTTAATTAATTTAACTTTCATGGCGACTTCTTTAGAGCTTCTCAACAGACCTGATCCCAAAACATATGGAAGTCAGCAAACTGATGCTGTTGCCTCAAAAGGCTTCTGACCAGCACCTTATTTACTCAGAAGAATTAATGTTGCCAAACTACTGTACTCCTCTCCTGAGGAGCAAAGTATTGCAGAAAGAGACACTACATAAACAAAAGAACCAAACCCTGCTGAAGCAAATATGCAAGGACTTATGGGCTCAGTTAAATTATTACATACTTCCAAAGAATCTTCACTCTAAATCTGGCTATGACATTTACTTAATGTGTTACCTGTCATTTCCCCATTTCTAAAGGAGGAATAGTAATTATTCAAGGTTCTCTTAGTGAAAATTAATGTTTTCAGGGCACTTTAAAAATTAAAATAGATACATATGTTTGCCAAGCTATCCAGCTGGATTGTGGGCACACTGATTGAGAGCATTTTGGTTGCTGTGGACTGTGCATGTATTCTCAGTTTCATTTTTGTTTCATTGGTTGCTTAATAAAATGTGTGCCCATAGATTACCAATGTAATCTACGAGATACATATATTTGCATAGGAAAAATATGTTACTTTTATTTCAAGCTCAGAAGGTGGCTGCTTACAGGAAAGAACAGGTTCTAGGAATATAAACATGGGTTCTTTTTTTTTTTTCCCTTTTTCTCTTTTTATCCTAAGCCTTGCAGAGAGAAGCCAGTTTGCAAGCTTATCCACTGAAGTCTAAAGGGGCTCTTTCAGTACAGCTGAGTATCTGATAAACAGATGATCTAGCTCTGACTATAGACTGCTGGTATTACTGTTGGATGGACATGATACCAACTTGTCTCAACACATGCCAAACTTCTTTCTGTTGAATGGCTACAGATGCCACTCTTGTATAGAAAGTATATTTCAGCATTGAAAAGCACCCTGGCTATGGGATTTCATGAGACAGCACAGCTGCAGCAGCAGTGTTATGTGGCATAGTTGTGCATTTTAGTAACATATATGCAACTTTTAAGGAGATAAACATGATCTGATAGGACAAGAGGACATGCACCCAGCCCATAGCTGTAGCCCCATCTTTGTAGTGCACATAGAAGCTGCTCTGCATTCTGTTTGCCTGCCATCTGTAGCTTTCAAACCACTGTGCAAAGGGTATTCGGAAAAGTGTCAAGAGCTTAAAACGCCATCATCTGAATGAAAGTGTACATACATGGTACTACAGCCTGGGAGCGGTTCTTCGGGATGTTTTCCTCCTGCTGTGCAATGGTGGTGTCGCTGGGTTCGGCCTGATAAGCACACAGAGCTTCCCACTCTTTCTCCAGACGATTCTTGTTTTTCAGGTGATCTTCCATGTAGGACTGGAATTAAAAGAATACTGCATTAAGCATTTACTTAGCTAGGCTCAAAAGCTAAGCTAAAAGGATGTTTCTCAAGACGGAAAGCATGGGAATCCTAAGCTTTGGAGTAAAAAAAAAAACACCCTCAGTTTTATGGCTAATTTATTCACTTCAGGGATTTAACTTCAAGCTTATTTGTGCTATACAGAATGAGAATGCTAAAATGTCCCAGTGCTAACAGAGAGGAAATGTGTGAAACATCCAGTTACTGAGCTTCAGGAGGAAAGTGTTTCTTCTTCAATACTTAGAAAACATAAGCACAACCATCTCTTTCATCAGGCAGTAGAAAAGAAACAAAACTCCATTGACAAAAATTACTACAAACAACAGCTCCTGTAAAACCAAAGGCTTTTAAAACTAAAGTTCAAGCAAATATGCAAGTAACAACAATGATAGAGCTGTCAAAGAGAATTAAAAAATAGCCAAGCAGAAGTGTCATGGTTCAAGCACTGGGTCATCAGAAACATTCTACATATGGACTGGCACAGAGAGGGCCTAGAACTAAGGTGTTGTTAATTAATATTAATATGTGTAGTTAAAGATTTTACATTGCATTCAGCTTAATCTGTTAGGAAAGCATCACCAAAGAAAACTGTCTGTCTGTGGCAGGAATGATGGCCCATCAAAGCATATTGGTGCAAGTCTTAAGCTTTTGCAGATCTCCCAGGGCTAGAGATCCAGTCCAGCAGTGGATCAGGAATTTAGTTCCAAAGATTTGTGGAAAGTGAACCAAAACCCTGTTTCTTCACCCTATGGACCTGAAAATCATCCAAGTAGGTGGGGGGAAGAGCAGAAAGGAAAAAGGGTGAGGAAAAATAGAAATCTTCCACTCCCTTAAACATGAGAATTAAGAAAATTATCACCTGGTACCGTAAGTCTACTTATACAACCTTGCCATCTTCTCCTACAGCAACAACAGAACCATCTCATATTACACACAGTTCATATTTGTAAATTAAACTCCACACTACCTTTACAAGGTAGGTTGATGTTAATGGACTTTAGGAGATAGGCTCAGGGTCTGGACAGGGGTTGAGAGGTCAAGAGCAGAGCTGTGTGTGCTTCTGATCCAAACATCGGCTACAGTGATTCCTGCTGGAGCCCTCAATAATACAGCCCAGTCAGTAGCAAACCTTGTCTAGAAATACCTCCTGTAAAGGATTTACTGTGAAGTATAGAAAGCAGTTTAATTGCTTAGAAAACCTTTTTCCTAGACAATCTCTGTTATGTTGAATTGTTCTTTCCAAACATGCTTTGAAGAAGAAAGGCTCTCGTGCCCTCTCAACAGGTTTAGCAGAAGGTGCAGAAAACTTGCAGCTTCTCCTCTGCCAAACATGAGCTGTGCACTGTGCTTCCCACCTGGTCAGCAAGGCAGGATATTGCTCTCTCATGTAGCCTGAACAGTTTTTTGATTACAGAAGAGATCCTGACACACAGCTTTGTTCTGTGCAGAGTTTGTCGGGGGCCTGCGTCTTTACACAAGATTTGTAAATCAAACCTGGTTACTGAAAAGCAATTCAAGAAGTCATGCTTCCAGAAGGTACATCTTTAAGGACACAGAAAGATATTGCATTAGAAGAAAGGTTTCTAAAGGAGGTAAAGAATAGTGGTGGCCTAGATACAATCAAAACACCTACTGTGTGATTGCTTCTTTTTTATAATGAAGGAAACGCATTACGGTGGACAGAGCTGTGACCTTACGAATGGGGAGCTGGGAGAGCTGCGTGGCCCTGCCATGTGGGTCAGCTAATGTGTTACCAGACTTAACTTACAAGTTAACAGGAGGAAACCATACTCTGATAGTTTGCTTCTCCTTGCCAAAAGGTTGTTGCTACTGGGGAAAAGAGGAAGGCTAAAGATCCTGTTCTATTCTCCCAGTGATTCTGTGCCTGGCTATGTATACTGAACATCATAAAAGAAATAGATAATTCCTTCTGAGCAGAGACTTGTTGGTATATAGGAATTTTTATGAGGCAAAGGGAAAAAAATAGCAAAATCTTACAATACCACAGAGCCAATAGTCTTGGCTCCAGAGCAGCTGTTTAGCATGCAGTAGAGATCAGGCAGTCAAGGACCAGCCCGTAGCATCTTCCCATTTTAGACCACAGTTTTATAATGTGATTAATTTTGACATGCCTATCACCAATGTCCCATAGACTTCAGGGACATTTTATGCAGATATACAGATCTGCCAACACTGAGTCTCTCCAAAATACTGTGAGATCCACGAAGCTGTAGCAAAAAGACCGTGAACATTTTATTCCTAAGGCAGGGCTATATGTAGCAAAAGGCTTCCTGTTAACTCCAACTTGTCTCTTTGATGATTTCAAGGATTGTATTTTAAAAAGAAATTTTATTTTCCTTTTTAAATCATCAAATATGACACAGTTAAGGTAATTTGACTGCTTTTAGCGCACATGAACTTTTAAATAAACTCACCTATTTTTAAAAGTTTTTACTTTTACCTTCATTTTCCAGGTAATTCTGAGTGTAAAGAGAAATGAATCTTCAAATGAAAATACACTGCAGTCTTTACTTTAACCAGACAACCATTTTTTGAGTAGTTTCAATATCTACATCACACATATCAGATTCACAGGGCACTTCCTGACAGACCTCGAAAAGGTGTTTGACTATTTAAACAGACCCATGGAAGGCTCTGTACAATACGAACATCTGCTTTACGCACATTTTTAAAAGCTACTGAGAAAGAAGCTTGCTTTAAAACATTCAGGAGCCAGACAATTCCCTCAGAGTTAAGTAATCTTTCATTTACAGTCCTTCAGAGCCCCTACGCTCATCCCCATTTTGCTAAACAGAAGCTTAGTGATTTTGAAACACTCTCTTGGGAGTGTTGGATGTACATTAAATTGAGTGGAACTTCTGATATTTTAGAGATTGTATGTCTACTCAAATCCACTCCTTAATTAGGATGTTTTGATGAGACATTCTGCAGTATTTGCCTGGTACAAAAGAAATTCATTACCAACATGTCAAACACGCACATGATTGTCCTTGTCTCAGAGCAGCAGGTAAAATAAATAGAGGTTGTCACAACTGTTATTGTAACGCTCCTCAAGCCTGCTGAAAAAGTAGAAGTCTAGTCTCACCAATATGTCCACATCAAGGCAAGTCCTGCAATCCAAAGTATATCATTTAAACTAACACTGATTGCTTGGACAGCTCCGAAGTGCCTTAAATTCCATTGTCTTAATTTTCCTTCCACAGGCCCTCACCTGCCAGGACAATTGGCAGCCCAGTTCATACTTTCTCGTGTACAGATAGATGAGATATTCTTGCTACCAAACATACCACAGGGATAAGGAGGATGTGCCAATGTTATGTGGAGAGACCGGATGTGTTGTGATATCTATTATTACTGTGTGAGACATGCCAGTTGTAAGGCAAAAGATGAGCTTTCAGCCAGGGGATGAAAAGCTGTCCCAGGGACAATGAATCTTTGGCCAAGAGAGATGGTGCCAGTGGCAAATATTAAGACAGATTCCGTGTGCTTGAACAAGGACACAAAGATAGAACACAGCAGCCTGCCTTGGCTTTGGTAGAACTTCCAGTGTGCTTGGTTGATGTTGTAATATGGGGTCAAACTGCTTTGTTTTTCTTTACTTTTTTCATTATTCTTTTCTTTTTTCAAGGGCCATCCAGTACAGGCTCTGTGACTAAATGAGGTTAAAAATGTAACCATTAAATTCTAATTGTCTGGTCAATCTCTAAATCATAGAATCACAGAATCATTTAGGTTGGAAAAGTCTCTAAGATCATTGAGTCCAACTCTTAACCCAACACTGCCAAGTCCACCACTAAACAATGTCCCTACGCACCACATGTACATGTCTTTTAAATACCTCCAGGGATGGTGACTCCACCAGTGCCCTGAGCAGCCTGTTACAGTGCTTGACAACCCTTCTAGTGAAGAAATTTTCCCTAATATCACAGAATGACAGAATATGCCGAGTTGAAGGGACCCACAAGGATTATCACGTCCAACTCCTGACCCTGCACAGGACAATCCCCAAGATGACTCACTGAGAGTATCATCCAAACTCTTCTTGAACTCTGTCAGTCTTGGTGCTGTGATCATTTCTCTGGGGAGCCTGTTCCAGTGCCCAGCCACCCTCTGGGTGAAGAACCTTTTCCTAACATCCGACCTAAACCTCCCCTGGCACAACTTCAGGCCATTCCCTTGGGTCCTGTCACTGGTCACCACAGAGAAGGGATCCCCTGACACAACTTGAGGCCATTTCCGCTTGTCCTATCACCTGTTACTTGGGAGAAGAGACCAAATACCTTCTTGAGAGATAGTATGGTTTGCATCTGTTAAGATAGTAATTTTAAATATAAATGCCTATTTTATTAGCTGATGTTCGGTTATTACAATTATTTTTGACTGCATAATTCCAGTATGGTACTTGATTAAACACCCTTTTTCATGACTAAGGATGCCTCTTTCAATGAAAAGATGTGAAACTCTTAAATTGACACACCTTGACAGGCCTAATCGAATTTCAAATGTCAGCTGAAGAAATAGATGCAAAATTATCTTAATGCTTGAGAACAGTTACCACTCGAATCCACATCATTCACCTGACAGTGCAGGAGCCAAAGCTTTGCATTGTTCTGTCCCGGGACACCCCAGCATTCTTGCTGTTCTGCTTTAACTCCTTGGTCTTCAGTACACATTGCATTGACTATATATGAGAAATACTTTTCTGCATAAATCTAATTTACTTTCAACATTGTACACAGTTTTGTTCTTCCTTTTCCTGGCTTAATACCACATCATCAGTGGCTTCACAGTTAATTTCTCTGTTCCCTTTCATGTTACTCACAGTGCTCTCTTTAGAGACAGAAGAAGCCTACCTGATTACCTATTTCCAGGCCTTCAAATAATGTTGTTTCTCGTACTAAGAAACTTTCTAACATTTGGCTGCCCTGTATCTAAA